TAATCATTTCCAGCATCCAATTGCAAAATTCAAGACGGTTCAGAAAGTCTCGCGGTAACAGTGCCTGTACTCGTTGCAGATGGTAAGGGTATAAGAGACGTTCCTTTAAAATTCAAAATACCGTCATATGATCAACATTTAGCTGGAAAGCAATCTTTCTAGTACTGGTAGTAGGTTGTTCTTCTATCAAATTAAGTACTGCTTCCTCAAGCTGTGGTGTACTTACTTCTCGATGGCAACCACAATCCTGCGTTCTTTTGTTGAATGAACCATATTCACGTTGATGAAGTCGGGCAAATATTCTATGTAAAGGATGCTGCCGTTGAGTATACATTTCAGCATATCTTGTAGAAGCTTCTAACCCATTCCCCTGCGACAGACCGTAAACGTAATGCATATCAGTGATTTCCTCATTTGTGTATGCCATTTTAATAACAAGTGAATTATTAAAGTAACAAATTAAGAACAGAACAACAATACACAATTAGTATTACTTCAATTTCAAAAATTTACAAACTGACAGCTTGATTCCAATTTAATTGTCAGTATCGCTAATGGCGGCCTACTAGATAAATTAGTTTCGTATTTTCGTTTTATGGCGATATGTATCTTGTTCGTAAAATAATTTTTTGCTGCGAACTGGTTTAATTTGGGCAAAAAATTCAAGAGACATTTTTTTTTAGAATGAAACAGGCTATCGGAAATAAATTTTTAAATGGTAAAAAAATAATAAGACAAAAAATTACGTTGGAAATAAATTTTAGGGGTTGCGTTTTCCACCCCTTACAACCATGGGGTAAACCAAATAAATTACTGGCTAAGTGTCTTTTTGGTAGTAGAAAATGTCAGGTTAATTTCAATATTGTAACTTGTTTAGTGCTTGTGAAAAAAATTGTTAAACAAATTTTATGTACCCCCTTTAAGGGGCTGTATCTTAACAAGGGATGCTCCAATGAAGTTTCTTTATATGAAAGATCTAATCTTTTTTTCGATGAGGAATCACCCCCTTAAATGTTTTACACTTATTTAGTTACACCCTGTATATAAAAAAAAATTAAATACTGAAGCTTAGTAACATTCAATGTCAAGTTATTGAACTTTATATTAATAAATTCCCTGGATCAGGATAGTGTATTCACACTAAAGTCCTTAGACTGAGCAAGTACCACAATCATTATTCTCATTTTGCTCCAAAATGGCAATTTTGCAAATGTCACTATGCGTTTAACATTTTTAAATATGCTGCCGCATATTAATTATTGCATATATTTTTTAAAATTTACTTCCTCTTTATAGCAAAAGACTATCAAAATTCAAATGACTGTGCTATTTTAGATTAACAAGTTGGTTAACTGATAAAATTATTTCATATATTTTCTAATATGAAAAAATTTGTAAAATTAGTAAAATAACAAACATTTGAATAATAGGTATGTTTTTTTCTTAACCATACTAGTATTAAAATTATATTTTTTACATCCTATAAAAATATAGAAGATCTAGAGACTTTAACAAGAACAAAAGTATCTGGAATGAAAGACTGTCGCAATCACCTGTTGCCTTGAAATATAACACAAAATTTGGATCTAAAATAGTACAACCAATTATATTTGGATAGTCTTTTGATATAAATAGCAGCTATAAAAAATGTAGGTTATAGCTAATATAAAGGATTATTTAGAAATCTTAAACATAAACTGGCATTTGTGGAACCATCAATTTGAGCAAAATGAGAATAGTTGCGGGACTTGTTCAACCTATATTGATAAAGTCCCGCAATTAACTTCTGTTTGGGGCAAAATCCCTATTGCCAACCTTGAAATATAAGTTTGAATTTCCAATAAATATGCAATTCATTAACTTTTTTATATTTTGAACAATTCATTACGCAATACCTCAATATTTTTATTTGTAATACCACAACAATTAAATTTGAATAGTTTTGTGATATAAATACTACAAATTTGTCAAACCGCCATTTTGGGGCAAACAAGAATTGATAGCTGTACTTATGGTGACTTGGTTTAACAAGAACAATGAAGGGCTATAGACTCTTTTAGTGTGGCATCACATATTTAGGCAACCCGCAACAAACTGTCATAGTTGAAATTGTACAGTTTTGTTTAATCTTGGCATTTTCTAGTTCTACTAAATATTGGTATTGTTTTTCTTGATGTTGTACTGTGTCAGTGTGTTTATCAAGTGTTTTTTTTCTTCAAGTGGTTTATTATAGACGTACTCTTAACCACAATCAAACTTTCCTTCAATGATATCCTGTTGCGAGGCTACTTCGCTTACATATGAAATTATTTTAACGTGCATGCTCATTAACATCGATATAATTTTAATTCATTAATTAGTCAATATTGTTCTATAAATTTTTAGTAAAAATATTATTATTTGGCGTATGTGACGTCACTACTGAAAAGGTCTATTGAAATAATTAAAAAAAGGGAAAATATTTAGTTTTGTATTTTACTATCTTCATTTTTTTCTAATGGCACTATTCTTTAACTGGCTGGGAGAGTGTAAATGACAGTATATTTTTAATGTGGAAAGCAGTAGTTAGTCAAAAAGATATTGTTCAATGCCACAATGTGACATTTACGTACAAATTTCATAGATTTCTCAAGGAAGAATACTTAAAAAAGATATGGAAAATGAAATTAAAACTGATAAAACAGCAGACAAATATGACAATTATAACGTCAAAAATGTCGATGACATATTTGCAGCAGGGATATTATAGTCTTGTTTTACAACTTCCATGAACACACATCATTTGTCGGGCAATTCATTTTTCTATCTTTTGAAAAAAATATTTCTCTCATGTGATGAATACATTCTGGATATTCGCACTTTTAAATTTAACCTCGGCTTCAAACAAATACAATAAAAATGAAACATGATTTTTTTCATCACTGTAATTTATGTTAAAATTCATGAAGAAAGGTGCAAAAACCTGAGGCATGATATTCAAAATCATGACTTATCCCTATGAATCAAACAAAACAGCACCATCTCTTGGTTGTTTTAGCGAATAAATAGAATAGGGAAAATATTAAAATTAATTTGCATAATCGTTAAGGTGAGGAACAAACAATTTGAAAAATCTTATACGCGTAAAAGGATGAAACCCCTTTTAGTGAGTAAAACAATAAAAAGTGAGGTTAGGTTACTTACATTGGTGCTGAGCTGGGAGGTCAAAGTGTGTACTTTTTCCTGTGCTTCACATAATTCCCTTCTGAGTTTTCGAATTTCGTGTGCTTGTTTTTCTTCCGCCGAAGAATACAAACTTGAGGCTGTCGACACTAAACTTATTGAGGATCCGTGCACTGAAAAAACATTACAAACTCGTTTATATACACATTTCACAATATATTAGAATATATACAAAGAATCGCATCTAATTGGTTTAGAAATAAATTTCCATTATTTGTTTAGACAATAAATTTAGAAAGATACCGTTTGATTATCATTATTAAACAATGTTTTTTTTATTTTATTATTAGTTTTACGATATATTGCTTTTTAATTCTTGTATATGCTTTTTTTGCCGTTTTAAATAACCTAGCTAAAATTCCAACTTACCGTCATCATTTTTTGGTATGCTATGCCTGGGTGTGTTCGAATGAGTAGGGGACAGAGGAAACGTCCTCGCGCTTCCCGGTGCCGGGCTGGTCGGTTGCGACCAGTGACTTAAACTGCCAATGGGAAGGCAGTAATAAGGTTCCGTCTCCGGTTCTGTGTTCCGGTGTAACATAGAGGGATACAATTTTTCGGATTTGGTCGATCTGGAACAAGTTTGGTAACATTAACAGAAAACTCGAGTTTTGTGGGCATATTCGTAAGCAGAAAATGTTACAAGTGTGTGGCGTGGTATAATGTAAGCAAAATGTGGGTAGGTCTGTAAGTAGGTGGTGTTTCTTCGAAATGATTTACTGTGGATTACAACTAAAGCGGACAAAACATTGTGCGAAGCCTGAGAAAATCGATTCCATGATCTAAATATTTCTATACTCCGCGGTCGAAATTATAGAGAGTGACTAAGACATAATATAAAAACACTATTACCATAATGCGTATAAAATATAAAATGATTTTTATACGGTTCAATATTATTTATCTTTGTGCCGCTCACTACGCACATCGATAGAATCTATAATCGTCTAGAGACCGAGTTACACTGAACGTCGATCTATATTCTATCTCTGACTTTTGCACCTGGTAGGGAATAGGAAATGCTTTTTTAGTGGGTGTAAACGGACTTGATTTAACCTGTCCTGAGAAACGTCATAGCATAAGCGGAGACGAGGGGTCTAATTCCATGGCTATAGTAAATTTATAAATTAAAAAAACACAATTGGGACGTTTTAAAATGCTGTAATAATTAAAATGGATCAAAGTGGCTGTTATAGCAAACCGTAAAAAAATATTAGATGTTATGTTTTATTATCTTTTTTCATTATTTTCTATATCTTGTTGCCTTTTACGCAAACACGCCAATGGATTTTCGTTCCCGGCACGCTTCATCCCCCTTACTAGTCCAAAAGCTAGCGATGAGTCACTCTCTATAATTTCGACCTCGGAGTTATAATACAAAATTTGAAGTATTTTTCTTTAACTTCTGATTTCATAATAAACTAAAGAGTCCTTAAAATTTAAACGAACTTTAAAGTATTGTTGCAACAATATGGTAATTAACAAATTTTACTTAAAGCCAACTTCGACATTAGTTTTATTGCAATATTAATTTCAGAACTGGAACTGGAGAGCAAACAATATTTTTAGAATAAAAAAATGCATTTGTCTCAATAAAATTTCCAATGTGCAATGAAACAAAAACAAGAAAGAAATATATGAGAATGGGATAACATGAAAATTATATCAGACAAGATGTTTTACCCGGAAATCTCAAAGCAACTTCAAAAAATCACTAGCAATATTACTTCAAAGAATAAAAAGTTATTAGCAATATTATTGCAACATACAAACAAATGACGTTAATAGCTAACAGAGATGTTAAGTTAAAACTATACACAGGTTATTTTTAAAGTATCTTCCAATAATAAAGGAGTTGATTCTTCGATAATTTTAAGGGAACATTAAATATATTACTAAAATGTTTTTATTTTTTTTTTTAAGTAACATGGAATATAGGGTCATTACTATGCAAGAAGAATTAAAGGCAATTCTGAAGAGAATTACAGATTACTGAAAAATATTTAGGTCATGGATGAAACAGTATCCAAAATGTTGCTTATCCGCTCTTATACCTGGGGAATGTCCGTTCTCTGAGATAGCTGTTTATAAAGAAAATGTAAGAATTATGGTTAGTGGCTTGAAATAATTGATAAATTATTAGTACTCAAGGTTAATTATAAAAGTCCATATTTAGAAAGGTACAAGATATGTCTTAATGAAGTTACTTTTTTAAAATATCATCATGATCTACTAATTTCTTTTGATTTTTCGCTGAAGCTGACAGCATAAAAAGCGAATTTCAAAGAAAATAAACAGCCCACTATCATATCTTAAAGAGATATCCTTGAAATTGTATAATTTAACCTTAAGGTACTGAATTATATTTGTAGGGGTGTTTTGAAAACTAGTAAACAAATATAAAAAATTAGGAAAGAATTACCTTATACTATTGCTTCGACTTAGTCGAGATGGTGAATCCCTTAGTAATCGGGTATGCGTCAAGCTACTTCTGTGCCCCGGCAGACTGGTTAAGGACTCCATACTATCAGTTTCCGATAATCTCGGAGCCACAGAATATGTGTTACTGCAAGAGAAAAGGCATTAAATTAAAATTATTCAATGTTTAATGTAAGTTATAATCCATATTTCATACGTTTTTATACAAACTACTGCAATTTTGATAAACTTCTTATCCGTTATATTAACAAATAATAATTTTGTATTTTTTGTAACCACTAGTTAGATTATTAAGTTTTATATAGTGATGGGACTACTCGAATGAAAATTATCGATTATATCGATTATGAAAATCTCTCGAGATATCTCGAGTGATCAAATAAATTCATTCGATTATTCTTAGACGAATGACGAATGACAGTCAGGGCCCGAGAACTTATACTTGAAAATATGGGGACACTGGGAACCACGTGACTTGAGATGGATATACAAGTTGGGGAAAGAGTCTATAGATGTCGCCACAAAGATTTTGTAGAATAAATTTTGACAATTGCAATTATGAATCATTTCATGTCATTCTTATTGCTCATGTTTATTGTTGGTTAGGTTTGGCGAGTGTTGGTGTGTGTTTTATTTGTGTTTTTAGTGTGTTTTATTAGATATTTCATTCACATTTATTTATATAACATAATAATGTCTGATCATCATATAATCACATTTTTTTATTAATAATAAAATGTTTTGTTTTGTTTGTTTTTAATAAAAAATGTGATCAGAGGTAGGTAGTTTTTTTTATGGATATCAACACAACGAAAAATTTAAAGTTGCATAATAAATCTCTATTACAAGAATTAATCAAAAATTGGTTTAGTAAAATTATTTACTTGTAATATTTTTTTATTCACCGTGAAAGCTAATACAATATAGAAAGCACTGAAACTCTATAATCATTT